TGGAGGGAGGCGTGCACAGTTCTGGGTGACACAGGAGCCACTTTCCTGTCTGCTCCCTGGTGTCTGGGGAGACAGCAGAGCCAGGTCTTGGAGCCGGGGATCTTCGGTGTTGCCAGGTAGCAAGCGCCCCTGTCCTGGGAGGCAGGTGTGCGGCCTCCTGTTCTGCGTCTTGCCTGCGCAGCATTCAGAGCCCGTTGTTCACGCAGAGCGGCCATGTCCCGGCGCTCAGCTGCCCGCAGAGGGCCACCTTGGCAGCAGTGTGGCTGCCCACTGTCGTCCCCAGGCCCAGGTGCACCTGCCTGCCTCGGACGTGTCGTTTTCTGGGTCTCCCCGGCCATGAGCCTGCGGGGCAGCAGCCGTAGACTGTGGGGTCTTCGTGTCTCCTGGGGGAGCCCTCACCTAGGCTGGGTCCCAGCCCCCTGCGGTGTCAGCTTCCCAGGGCCTGCGCTGCTTTCTGGCCTTGCTTACACAGGCGGTCCCGCGGGGCGCTGCTCGGTGAAGAGAGGAGGAGCTCACAGCCCGGAGCCGCTGAGCTGACTGCCCCTCGACCGTCCCTTCCACAGACTTCTCTGTGGCCAAGCTCCTCCCGAGGTCCCTGAGCGCAGCTCGCTACCGCTTCCCTGCCCACGGGGACAGCTACATCGAGATCCCCGGCGAGGCCCTCCGTGGCCCAGGTGAGTGTGGCTTGGGCCGGCCGGAGGCCCAGTGCCCTCTCCAAGCCCGGGTGACCCCGGTGCTCACTCCACACAGCTGCCCCTGGGGTGAGACCCGCACTCGGGGGAGCCTGGCCACGCGTGAGCTGCTGTCCCTGCCGAGCTCAGCCCTGGCTGGCCGAGTGCGCGTGGCCGGGCCACCCCCCTCTCAGGACGGCCGTGGCGGGCCAGGCTTTGTCTGGCCCTGGCTTCCACCTGCACAAGTCCAAGTCCAGTCCCCTGGCACATGAGTGAGTTCACCCAGAGCCTTGGCTGCCTGAAGCCGTGCCCTCCCTGGGTCCCTGACAAATGAACCAGCCCCACAGCCTCCCTGCCCGGGGCCTCAGAGTCCTCCACGCCCCCCACTGCCTGCCTGACCTTGGGAAGGGGGCCCAAGGGTGCTGGCTGCCTCTGTGAGCACCTGGACGTGGAGCCTCCCAGCGTTCGCTCTGCTCAGGCTGCTGGAGGGGCAGCAGCGTCACCCAGGTTGGGACCTTGTGGCCCTCCTGCTCCCTCCGGGTGCTGACGGCGCCCTGGGCTCTGCTCTGCCCCAGCCTGGACCTCCATCGTGGGCCTGCTGTACCGCTCCATGCACCACTACGTGACCAACATTCCCCCGGCCAGCACCATGTGAGTCTCTGGGGTTCCCGGGCGGAACCTGGGCGGCCCCGGCCGATCACGGGGACCCACTGGGATCTTGCCACCCACCCCGGCCCTCACTGCAGAGTGGGGTCAGGCACAGCGCTGGGGAGGATGGTCCGGGCTCCTGTGTCACCTTGGGGAAGTGACTGACCCTCTCTCAGCCTCAGTTTCCACATCTGTGGAATGCAGACAGCGTACTTATCACGTCACCATCTGCCTGTGGGCGGGTCCATCCATCCATCGTGCATCTGAGGACACCTTGTGTAAGGAGCTGGGCGATAGAACAGGCCGGTGAAACACAGCCCGGGTCTCACGGCTTCTCAGGGTCCTTTCCCATGGGTCACCCTGTGTTTCAGGGCTGCCCTCCTACGGTGAGGACCGTGCTGAGGCCGATGTCACTCAGGGCCTCCCTCTGCTGGATGCTCCTAACCTGTTCTCTTGGGAACAGAGCGGGCGCCCGGGCCGCTCAGCCCCGTGCGCTCCCACGGCTCACCCCAGCAGTCCACGTCTCCATCCTTGGGCTGAGTGGCTGGCCTGTGACACAGAGCTAATGTGACCTTGCGGGGGCTGTGCGTGGTGCCTCCTCGAGGGCAGCGCTGTTTGGGGTAACAGGACTGAGCCTCACAGTGCCCAATGGTCCTGCAGAAGTCATAGCACACCAAAGACCCGCTCCGTGGTGTTGCAGGCTATCTGAGGAGAGGCCCGGAACCTTTTCATTTTTAAAATTTGCTCCTTTTTCCCGGGGTGTTATGTAGATTTTGGGATGGTGACCTTCTCAAGGAGAATGGTCAGGTGACCTGGTGACTGTCATTCACGGGCATGGAAAAGCACAGGCTGCAGACAGGGTGTTCAGATCTGGCTGCTGGGAAGGGCTAGCTGGGGGAGGGACAAGGTGCTGCCACGCCCAGGGCCCCAACACGGGTTCCCGAGGGGCCTTGGTGGGAGGTGGAGTCGGTTTATTGGATCACATACTCGGACAGTGCCCCAAGAGCGGCCTGACCCAGCATCCAGTTGGCGTCACTGGGCTCCGTCGCTAGGCCTCTCCTTGGAGTGGACACCCTGCCTGGCTACTCTCTCCTTGCTGATGGTCAGCTGCTCCTGGGCCTCGTCCTTTAGGGCAGGTATCTAGCCAGAAAAGGAGCTTCTTTGTCCAGTATCCTTGCTTGAGGCTCCTCGCCCCTTCCTGGGCATGGCTGGGGCACCAACCTGGACAGAGGGCTGCAACTGGTCTGGGGGGTCACCTGGAGGGAACTGAGGCAGTGGATGCTCCACACCAGCACCTATGCACCACTGGATCATCACAAAAGGGAGTCCAGACAGGCAGGTGGCTGCCAAGGTCACACGGAGGGTCAGACAAGGCGCATGACCATGTCCCCTTATTTCCCAGGATTCCTGTGGCGGCCAGCTGCAGAGACGGCCTGCTGTCGGCAGCCAGCCCTCTCATCTCGCTGGAGGTGCGCCCCCCACCCGCGCTGTCCCGCAACCTCTCGGGGTACCCCCTGGTCACCGTGCACCTCAGGCACAGACTGGTGAGTTGGCGCGAACCCCTTCTTGGTGTGCACCAGAGCCCGGGCAGCGCCGAGGGGTCTCCGGCGGGCATCCGCGCGATGTGAGGAGCCCGGTCCTCTGCTGCTGTGAGTTCCACAGCCCCTTCCCTGGGGCTTTGCGTGACCTGCAGCAGGCAGCCCGTCGATGGTATGCGGGGCTGGTCACATGGATGGACGTTGGGTGGCCTTCTGGGATGTGTGGAGCCGTCGTGGTGTCGGGTTGATGACACGCGTCCTGTGTGGAGGAGGGGCGCGGGTTGTCGGGCTCTCCCGCAGCTTGTGCGGCGGCATCCTCAGAGGGGCTCTGCTGTGTCGGGGAGGCCCTCCCTGCTCCGGGTCCATGCGCTGAGCCGGCTGCCTCGATGTGTCATCACACAGTTCTGCCCAGGGTTTATCCTGGCGCGGGGCACCCAGTGGCGTCGCCCTTCGGCTCCTCCACCGGGTGGAGGGGCGGACCTAGCTCAGAGGGGCGTGGCTCCAGGAGGGCGTGGCTCCAGGAGGGCGTGGCTCCAGGAGGGCGTGGCTCCAGGGGTGGCCAGGCTTGTGCCCTGTGTTGAGAAGCCCCTCCTCGGCTTTGCAGCGCAGAGCAGTCACGACCAAGAAGTCTGCCCCCAAGCACAGCAGCCTCTGTGTTACCAGGCCAGCTGGCCCCGTGCGGCGGGAGCGGCGGGTGAGGCTGGAGAGCTGGGGCGGGGGGCGGGGCCTGAGGAGGGCAGAGGAGGAGCAGGGACCGGCCCAGTCAGGGCTGGGTGCCAGCCAGTCACCAGAGAGGTCACCCATGTCCATGTGCCCATCACATACACGGGCACACTCACCCGTCTCACACACAGCACACGCGCAGAACACATGCACAGCACACACGTCATCCCATGCAAAGGCACACAAAGTGCACACACCCAGCACATACTGCACGCACAGCGCCCCCGTGTCACACACACCCATTACACGCCCACCCCCCCCACAGCACTCGCAGGATCCGCTCTTGGTGCTCCCCCGTGCCCGCCCGTGGCCTGTCCAATCAGGCTGGCGGGAGCTGCGGTACAGAGCGGCAGTGAGCTCGTCTCGGGAGCCACGGCTCCTGCCCTCCCGTGCTTGTCTCCTCCCACCCTTCCTTAGCTTCCTTCTTTGCCCCAGGGCACTGAGGGCACGGCGTCACTGTGCGCCCAAGCCTGTCCATCCCGGGATTGCTCCATGCCAGTCCCCAGGGCCCTGCTCGCCCCCTGCAGCCGCAGGCGCTTGTGTGCGGGTCTATCCCCCTCCACCTTCCAGCCCCAGGTGTCCCACGTTGAGATTGCCCCCATTCCCAGTGCCCCCAGCACTCGGAAAGTGTGCGCCGGTCTGCAGGTGCGCCGCCCTTCTTCCTGCCCCTCACCCGTACCCTTGGCAGCGTTGTACTGAGGTGACAGACAGCAGACAGGAGTCGCTGAGCCTCTCAGTGGGACAGGAGAGGGAGGTCCTCGAGCTGCGGTGCCCTCCCACTCCTAGGACCCTTGTGTGTGTGTGTATGTGCTTGCGCGCGGGTGCACATGTGAATATATGCAAACGCACAAGCGTGCAAGTCATTTCCGAAGCTATGACACACTGTTGGCTGCAGATCAGAGTAGACCTGGCCTGAAGTCCGTCTCACTGGGGTTCTCACCGGGTGATCTGAGGAGCAGCTGGGGAGCAGCGCAGCTGGGGTGTCCCGCCCGCTATGGCCCCGCCCAGGAAGCAAGGGGCAGGAAGCAGGTGCAGTGTGCTGATGCTGATGCTGTGTGGGACGCTTGGGGTGGAGGCCAGCAGGGAGGGAGGGAGCCTGGTGTGGATGCCAGTGGCTCCCTCACTCACAGGGAGCGGAGGTCACAAAGGCTGCTGGGGGGCACTCAGAGCCCCGGGCGTCCGAGAGGCAGGGAAGCAGCCACAGCCTACCAGAGCTGCATTGTGGAAATGCGTCCCTCCCTCCAGGCCGTGGTCAGGCGGGTCCCGGGCATCTCTGTGCAGAGGGCTCCGTGGGGCCCTGGGCAAGGCCTCTGGCCTGAGCTCCTCGCAGCGCCCCAGCTGGCAGCCAGCGCCCGGGAGCTGCCTGCCCCTCCCCCTCCTGCCGCAGCCCATGCTATCGACCTGAGCCGGGTGGAAGATGCACTTTTGTCTTCTGTGAAATGCGAAGGTGCCAATTTGAAAACCAGAGAAAAAGAAAGGGTAGACTAAAATGCAGTCCCTGCTCTAATGATCGGTTACTGGAGCTATTTTTACCAAAGCAAGTGTTTGAATAGGAGCCCTGTCTCAGGCAGAGGCAGAGCGGGCTGGGTGTCACACCAGAGAGGGTGGTAATGAGAGGCGTCACAGCCAGGCGTCCTCCGGCGCGCGGGGTCTCTCCTCTGAAGGTCGCCTGTGTCCCTGCTGACCCCTGCACCACGTGTGACATGGCACTGTGCTCTGTGAAGCTCTCACCGCGGGCCTGTGTGGACGGAGGTCCTCGTGTGCCCCCACGTCTGTGTCCCCGGCCTGGTTAAGGCAAGCACGTGTAGAGGTCACAGCGTGAGGTCAAGGTCTTGGCTGAGGCTGAGGCAGGTGGACGGAGTACTGGCATGTTCTGGGGGCTCCCGAGAGAACTCAGCGGGGCCTGGGAGTGCAAGGTGCCAAAGCTAGCAAGGTCCTGGACATGGGGGCAGACTGCCCTGCTGGGCCTCTACTGGCTGTCCTGAGTCCTTGCTGGGCCTTCAACGTGGAGAGCGATGGTCTGGCGAGGGCCTGGCAGCACCCTGGGCTCTGCCTGCCCCCGCTGTGCCCGCGTGTGCTGGGAGCGATGCCTGTATCCTTGTGGTAGTCAGAGCCGGCTCACCCTCAGTGGGGTTATTGCATAGTCCAACCATCCGGGGTTTGCCCGCTTGGTCTGTGGCTGGTGTCTTCCTGTTCAGACTGCTAAGCGTGGCCGTTTCTTTCACTTCCCGGGTGGGAAACTCAGGACCAGGTTGAAGGTGACGAAAGCAGCTGCCCTGGTTTCTCTTATGGCGGGGGTGGTGGCTTCCTCAGGGTTCTGTAATCTGTTGTGGGCAAGGGGTTTGTTTTATGTGAATGGAGTTTTCTTCTCTTGCTGTGGTCATTCTCTGGTGCCCTGGGACCCCAGTGTCCCTGCTCTGCAGACTGCGGTACCTGACCGACGTGGCTATTGACACGGACACACACACACACCCCTGCATACACCCACAGAGCTAGCACCATCTGACCTCCTCGCCCCAGTCTGGAGATGACAGCTGTTAACATCTGGAGAAGGCCGTTGACCCTCTGCCGCTAGGGTCTGGTGTGTTCTGTGTTCTCGTGAGCACGTGAGCACTGGGGTGAGCCTTCCCGTGCCCCCTCAGCTCTCCCTGTAGCATCACTTCTTAGAAATAGTCTGTTAACGCCTGCGCTGTAACCCTGGTGTTAATTTGGCTTTGGCTAGATGTGTGTTTATGACCTTGCAGAGGGAGACTTGGAATCGTAGGCCTGGAAAGTTAGGGTGGGGGTCAGAGCACTCGGGGCACACTCTCCCTGGCTGGACCCCTCTGCAGAGCAAGTCTGGCCCTGCGGTGCGTCACAGGTAGAAATGAATAGGTCCCCCCCACGTGCCGGTCCTCCCACAGCGGTCTGCCCGGGCCTGCAGCTGCCTGGGCCGGGCAGCGGGGTGCGATCCACACCAGTGTTCCTCGCAGGTGCAGCCCAGGAGGAGCTGGCCTGCTGCGAGCGGCTCCGTGGCCGTTCTGACGACCACCGGCGCCTTTCCATTTGGTGGCTGCAGGTGTGGAGGTGCCGGGTCACGGGTGCACATGTCCGTCGCTGACGGGTGATTCCAAGCGGCTCTCCCCGGGCGAGTGCCGGCTCCCGCTGCCCCTGAGGAAGGAGAACCCTGGGCCAGGTGCCAGCTCCCCTTACCTGCTGGTCACTGGCTTTTGCCTGTGAAGTCGATGACTTTTCAGGTGCTGTTGGACTTCAGATACTCTTTCTTTTTAAATCTGTTATCTGCTTTTGTGTTGGGTCGTCCGCTGCTGTTTTCGTATTGATTTCCAGGCGTTCTCCATTGTGCGGGTCTGAGTCCTTTGTGGAGTGTACGAGCTGCAAATTCCTTCTGGGACTGGGTTGGACCTTTTGCTCTTTTGGTGTCTGCTGATGAATAGCAGTTTTAAATTTTAATGAAGCCCAATTTGTGAAGCTCTTCCCTGATGCTCACTGCCCTCTGTGTTCCGGTTGAGGAATCTCACCTAACCCAAGGCCATAAGGAGTCCCTTGTGTGACCTAAAGCATTTATTGCTTTCTTTGCTGTCCAGAACTATAGCCCTTGTCTAATTGTGTCTGTGTGTGCTACGAAGCCAGGGTCAGGATTTATCCTTCCCTGACGCGTGGACCCAATTTACCCAGCACCGCTTGTTGGCAAGATGAACCTTCCTTCCACTCCCGTGGCTGTGTACCTTCACCACGACTCAAGTGACTTTTCTCCAGAGCTGTCTCCTGGACTCCATTCTGCCTGCCTGTCCCGCTCGAGTCCCGTAACTGCGTGGCTTTATGCTAAGGCCTGAGATGTGCCCCTGCAAACCCTCCTGCCTTGCTTTTCCAGTGCCTTGGCCCTTTCTGGTGAATATGCATTTTGAAGTCTGATGTGCAGTCAAAGCTGCCCTTCAGAACGAAAGTTCCGTCCCAGTGTGGCTCGTTAGTGCCTATTGCCTGCATTGTTCCAAGAGCTAACACACAGAAAGCCACATCTGGTTGTTATTTTTGTTTGCATTACTTTGATTGCTGGTGAGGCCGGACGTCTTTTCCTGAGCGAATTGGCCATCTGCACTTTTCTCTTCGGCACAATATGCGCACTGTTCTCCTGATTGCGGGGATGGAGCTTTCGTTTCCGTGTGGACTGCTGAGAGCGCAGTGCTCCTTGCGGACATCAGCTCATTCATTCCCTGTCACCAGTCACCACGCTCGGTTTTATTCTGTGCAGGTTCAACCCTTTCCTACGGTCGGACGCCCAGCTG